TTTAACAAGTGTACTCCTTCTCTGTCAAAGTTCCAGCTCATGTACAGCTTTATATTTTTTTCTTGTTTTTAAGGGGGTTTATTCAGCATGGCACAACATTGCTTTTCCTTCTTATCCCTTAAGGTGTTTCAAACAGAACCTAACCAACAGCTAGTAGCAGTGTCAAAATACTGCCCTTTGTGTTGTGTCCAAATGCTAGATTTATTCATGAAGTTCAGTTACAGCTCTTGAGCCTGATCTGATTTACGGAGGGTTCCTCCAGCTTGAGACACATTACATATACACCCTCTTTAAGGTCCTGTTACACTGCTAGAGTAGTGAAATGCATATTGGAGGCTTTTTGTTTTTTATGCGTACTGAAAACTATAAAGAAAGCAAAGGTTTTCATACAATTAACTTAATTTTCTGTAATATAAAAACAGTATCCAGATGTTGCTTGTGTCCTTCTAATTTTCAGTGTGCAGCTATTTTAATGCGTGAGAGGAATACATTAAAAGAATCAATTGTATACTACTTGGTGTGTGTCTGGTGATGTTGCAGTGTGAAATTATGTAATGGAACAAGACTTTTCTTTAAAATATATATTGATCCAGCCAAAGAGGAACTTTTATTTAATTTGGCTAAAAAGTGAAAGTGATTATAAGTTGAGTAATTTTAGATTTTGCATGCCATAAATATTTATGTCAATTGCACTTCCAGAATTAGTTTATAAATCAAAACCTGTCACCGCTTTTTCTTTCCCCTTCGATCTGATTTTCTGCCACCTCTTATAAGTACTGGAATGTCATAAATTAGTTTCCAATGAGACTATTTGAAGCAGAACAGATCAAAGCTAAAATTAATGAAGGGAGGAAATATTAAATCATTTAACTCTGGGAATAATTAAAATGGTATGTAGGAAAAATAAGTGTGTGTTCTGAAGCTGCCATTTCCCTTTTTATGGGCCAGTCTAAAACTGCTTGGATACAGGTCTCACTCAGCCCTGTTTATTCAGATGTCTATGAAAAGCCCTTGAGAAGCCTTGTAGCTTTGTGGAACTATAATATTATACATTACCTGCCCTGGTTCCTTCAACTTGATTCCTTTCTTGGGAAGATGGAAGGGGAGGGGCATTCATTGGAAAATAAAAGCAAAGTCAAACCTGAATCATGCCACTCCTCGTACGCTATGTAGGGTTTGGTGGCCATACAGGTTCTCAATATACATTTGCATCTAAAACATAATTTGGTGACTGCGTGCATCGTGCAATAATTAGGTAATACTGTATACCGGGGGTGTCCAACTCATCCAGCCCTGCATGATCATCCAGGCTGGATGATATCCCTGAGCAGGTCTGTGGGCTGGACTAGGACCGGCCCTCTGTGGACTAGCTGCGGCACCAGGTTTAGCCTGTGTGTTGCATACAACGCATGCCAGCTCCTGGGGTCAGCAAAAGGGGTGTACAGTATGTGGGCTGGACCCAGCACTGCAGGAAGTACAGGGGGTTGTCCCCAGGCCTGTATATAGCCTGAGCCTTGGACCCCCTGTGCTGCATTAAGCATTGGGTTCAGCCCACACACCATGGGCAGTGTGCACTGTGTGCTGGCCATGGGAGCCATGTCAGCAACAAATCCCAAGGGTTGTGGGTTCTGGTTGTGAGGCTAATCTAGCTGTGCATGCAGCATGGAGCTGGCATGGGGCACATGTTCCCCGGAGTGAGCAGGCTGGACCCAACACTGAACACGGCACAATGGGGTCTGGGGCATGGGCTTCAAGCTGCACCTTGGGCTGACCCCCTGTGCTGCCTGTAGCCTCTGTGCTTCATGCAGTGTGTGGGGACAGGGTTGGTGCATGAGGTCAGTGCAGCGGCCTGTGGGCTGGATCAAATGGCTCCATGGGTTCTTGGGCCATGTTTTACACTCCTACTCTACACAGAATATGCAAGGCAATTGTGTTGCAGTCAGCTTCTCGCTTCCTTAAGCTTGGATAATACAGTTATGGAATAACATCCTTAGGCTTCAAGGGAAATAAAAGAGCCAGGATGTTTCTGACTTAGTTCAGATATGCCAGGGACTTAGAAGTGGGTTCAAGAAATGTCCATGCCCTCCCTTTATTTCCTGTGAACAGGCCAGCCAAAATCCTAGAAATGGCATTCAGGAGAGTTGGAATTTCTGGCAATTAGGCCTAATAGCTTTGTAACCATATAGTAAATGAAATTCTATAAAAGGGGTAGCAAGGTCCATTGAGATCTATGTTCTCCCATGATTCTCAAATTAATTGTTCCTGCTTCAGGCATACAATGCTCTAGAATTTCCAGTGTGGCTGTGTACAAAGGGCTAGCTGAAAAATTCCATTCAAACTTTTCTTATCCTGAAAATTGGATTTTTGACTAAGGAGAATTTTTAGGAAAAGTGGCTGCTTTCCAAAAAAATATTGTTGTTCAGTGGAAAATGAAAAACTTGAAGTTTTAGAAATATCGACACATAGGCTTGGAAGGGACCTCAGCAGTCATCTAGTCCAAGTCCCTGCACAAATACAAGATTTCTTGTTCTTAAAACATCCAGAGATGCTATCTAGCCTCTTCTTGATATCCTCCAAAGAAGATGGGTCCACAAGTTCCTGAAGCAGCTTATTCCATTGTCCTATTGATCTTACAGATAGGATTTTTTAAATATAAATCTGTTTTGTTGTAGTTAAATGCTTTGCCTCTTGTCCTGTTTTCTATAGGAATGGAAAACAATTTTTCTTCTTCTTTTTGGCAACCTTTCAAATGTTAAAAAAACCTGATAATGCAAGCTCGCATCTCCTTTTTTCAAGACTAAATGTATCTAATTACTTTACCCTTTCCTTGTACAACTTGCATTCCAATTTCTTTTTTCTCTTCATCACTAACATCTTTATCCTGCCCAGTTTCTCTACAACTCTCTTAAAATGTGGTGTCCAGAACAGGGCAAGGTGTTCTAAGCCTAACCTGGGCAAAACAGGATATTTTTTCAACAGCTTTTGGCTGAAAAACATTCAGCTTTTAGCAAAGACCTTCCTGTTTTATGAAAATGTTCATTTTCATTGTCATTTTCTACTGCAGAAAATAAATGAAACACCTTTTCTTACCACCCTTATTTATGTGGCCATCATCTTCAGAGTATGTGAGTGTATCTCAATTATTAAAGGACTTTATCTGGCTAGTACTCCTGACACAGAAAATTATCATACTCATTTTAAAGAAATGGTAGATTAGGTAATTGCCCAGCATAAAGTCAGGCACCCTACCTAAGTCACCTGAAGTCTATTTTTACCCACTTAAAATGTAAAAATATAAACTTGGAATAGAATCTGTTTTCTGGCTTTCATCTTCATGGTATCAAATAAGTCCACCATATTGTAATGTGAGAATTGGAAATGTTCCGAAGGGTGTACAGATGTACATGTGGGATAAAATACTCCTAAGCTCGACAAAATAGGACTTGCCAGGAAGAGGTACTGTTTTGTACCATTTTGTTCTACCAGAAGTCTGTATGGGTTGTCAGTCCTCCATCATCTCAAAATGATCTTCTGCCCCTAATGATCCCCTCAGCACCCTTGCTGCTGCTGCCTGTTCCCCATTACTAGCACATTGGGGTTCCCAGTGCCCAGGGAGCTCCAGATAGTGGGGCTTCTGACACTTGGGAAGCTCTGGGTGCCATAGTTCCCAAAACTCAAGTGCTACAGCTCCCAGCACTCAAAGCACTCCAGGTGTTGTGATTCCTGGCATTTAAAGGGGCTGTCAGTCTATCCAAAACCATTGGATTAATGTACTCATAGATTCATAGATTGTTAGGGGCTGGAAGGGACCTCAGAAGATCATCAGGTCCAGCCCCCCTGCACTAGGCAAGAAAGACAACTGGGGTCACGTGACCCCAGCGAGGTGACCATCCAGTCTCCTCTTGAAGGTTTCCAGGGTAGGCGATTGCACCACCTTTGGGGGGAGTTTATTCCACAGTCTAGACACCCTGACTGTGAAGAAGTTTTTCCTAGTGTTAAGCCTGAAACGGTCTTCCAGGAGTTTGTGGCCATTACTGCTGGTTTTCCCTAAGGGTGCCCTGGTGAACAGTTGTTCACCGAGCTCCTTCTACCCTCTCCATCTTATTTCTTTGCCTATACTTTTCATCACGACTAGCATTTTGATGATTCATCCATAATTTGCATGAAGATATTAAGAAATTACAAAACATTTATATGACTCCTGGAAGTCAACTTAATTTCATGATGATTTTTATGGATTTCAGAACTAACTTGCCTATCTCTTAACAGATTCCAGTTCTAAGTTATTAATTCAGTCTTAGATGGATTTTCACAGGTGACTATTCATTGTATGTCTTGGCAGTATTTTAAGCCCTATTAGGTTTGTGGTTCTGAATTATTTTAGTGAATGGATAATTTTTCATATGAAGGGAAAAAAAAGACCCCTTACCTGGACAGTATGCACATTATCCCCATTTTGTAAATTCCTGCTTCTGAGGGAAGGATTTCTGAAATCTTCCTCATTTATAGTGTCCTCATATCCATGATCCTTCTGAAAAGTGCAAAGATTGAAAATAATATATCAAAACTAGAACCAAAAATCTGTCTAATGCAACAACAGTTTAATTATACTCAGACATTCAGGTCCTGGCACTGGACTTTGATGAGACAGCAGCACACTCAAGAGGAGCACTTTAAGGTGCTGGGTACCAAAGTTGCTAATTCTATCTCTTCAAACATCAAAGATTCATAGTTTAGACAAAGAAAAAATAGTATGGTTCAAATCCTAGTACTGTAATTGTTTTTTTTGCCGCCAGTTCAGTGATGTCTTACTATTTTAGCCAGACAAGGTTTTAACAATGCCTGGGGGAACACAATAATCAATCAAAGAAAGATGTTCAAAATGATTATTATAACTAAAGAAAAACAAGTTACAACCCCTCCCCCCCCAACCAATACTGGAGATAAATAGTAAGTCATGGCCACTCCACTTATGATCTCTTTCACATATCTCTCTGTAGCAAGCTTTCAACAGTGATTACATCTTAGAAAGTTGGTTTGCCCACTGAGCCTCTCCCCGCCATTCTTAGGTAAATTAAGTCCAAAAGATATTATTTCCCATAAAAGTAACATATCCTGTCCTGATATAGATAACTAAAACAGGCAAGGGAATTTCATTAAAGTGTTGGTGAGTTCTGTTGGGTTTATCATGGATAACTTAAACACTTAATTAGGACACTTAACCTAAACAATTAATTTATATTTACCTATTTATAAAGTCCTGTGGACTGAAGACAGTATTTAATCCAGTTACTTAGAAACCATTTAAGGAGTTACCCAACTGAAATAACAATGTTTATTATGAATTCACTAAATCATCTTAAGAAGTGGTCCTTGAGAGCCCACAATTTCTTCTGATTCACCAACTTTACCTTATATCTTCACTCTAGAAATACACAGGCTAAAAGATCTGGTGTTTAACAGCAGAGGTTGTTAATACCTTAAGTTACAGTGGACGTATCTACACGTGCATTAATGCACTTTAGCTAATGTGCATGAAATCTAGTACCTCTGAGCATTTATACACATGCTCTGGGAACTCGACGAATGAAGTGAACTAAAGATCACTTTAAAAGCATTCACTTTGTTAAAGTGCCCCTGCTGCCATTTTTCAGCACAGGGATGCTGATACAATAGATGCTCCGTGTGCTTTAATTAGAGCATTAAAATAGATGAATGTGCACTAAAGCATACATGTAGGTGTACCCAGGGTAACATTCAGTATACTGAATAGTGATGAGGTTGGTGTGCTGGGAGAGACTTCATTGGGGTGTGCATATTTGGGCAAAAACCAGTACTTTAATAAAAGGGCAGGGCTGATGTGAGCCAGAAAATCTGAAAGCTAGTCCCTTTGAGGACCAGCAGGAACCAGTGAACAGGGGTGTTTTCAAGGTAATGTGGCTTCAAAGTAATTTCCAGTACCAAAGCAGAGGAAAAATATATAGAGGAATCTCACTGGGGAGTGCAAAGCTAACAAAAGGGTTTTCAAGGTAACTTGATTCAGACACATTTACCATCTAAGGCAGAGGTCATAAAAATTTTATATCCTCTTGAAAAAAGATAGGAAGGAAGGAGGCAACTTAAGTGCAGACGATGGTGAGGGTAAGTCTGCGCAAACAGAATCTTGATCAAGCAGCACACACATAACAGGCAGCTGAGCATGGAGAAAATGTAAGTGCTTCTATACAAGTGCCAGATGTCTTAAAAATCAGATGGGCTAATTAGAATGACTGGCATTAAATGATGATATTGCCATAATAAACATTTTGGAGGCTTCGTGGAAAGATGACGATCAATGGGATACTATGATACCATGGTAAGAGGCTATACAGGAACAAAAGAGTAGGATGGTTTAGGGGAATGGAGCAAGTAGCACTGTATGTTAAAGATAGCACAGATGGTAACACACAAAAATCTTAACTGAAATGAAAAAGTACCAGAGAATTGCTGTGGGAAGAAGGTCTGTGTTTATGTAAAAGGAACATAGTACTTGTGTTACTGATCACCTGATCAGGGTAGCAAAGCTAATTATGAAATGCTAAGAGAGATGAGAGAAGCTGCAAGAGTGGAACATGCAATAATAATTGGAGATTTCAATTATCCTTGGATAGACAGGGTAAATTTCTTGTTGGAGTGAGGTGCAGAAAGAACACTTCTGGATACAATAAATGACTGCTTTCTAGAAGAACTAGTCCTGGAACTTACAAGAGGAGAAGCAATTCTAGACCTAATACTGACAAGTACGCAGGACCTAGTTATCTGTGGGTGAGCCGCTGTGTAATCATGATCATAATACAATCATATTCAACACATTAGCAGGAAGGAGTCAGCCAAAAAACAAAAATCTATTACTTATATTGAACTTTAAAAAGGGAAACTATACACAAATGAGGAAGCTAGTTAGAAAGAAGTTAAATGGAGCAGTAAAGAAGGTAAAAGGCCTACAGGGAGTCTTGAAGCCTTTTAAATATAGAAGCCATTTAAACATCATATTACAGTCTCAGAAAAAGTGTATACCACAAAACAAAACATGTCACAAACAGTCCACCCCCGCCCCCCCTTCATAGTTTAATAGAAGAA